GCGCGATTCGTGCTCGATTCCTCTCGAGTTTGTTTCACTTGTGCGCTAAACCTCTAATGCACTTGTATTCATATTAATATTATTCACTCTTAATTGTCCCAAAATAAGGGTCTAAAGTCCCTCAATTAATCGCGCGCGTAAAAACGCATACTTCCGATTTGTGCGCGATAAAGTGGAATTTTCAAGAATTTCTTATAACGATAGTATCACTAACTAATAATTGAATACTTAAATATAAAAATACCTATTTCAAGACTAATGTATAAGTCTCCAATTTTTCAAACTTATTGTATCCTCGAATCGATTATTATTTCCAATCGCGTATTCACTATTCTCATTTTACGAGCTTTCAAAAATTAAATTTTGAAACAAGTCACTTTAAAAATATAAAAATTTAATTAAGCTATAGACTCATGTAATTAGGTCTAAATAGGTTAGAAAATAATATTCGGAGTAAATGGGCAATTAAATATTTAAATAAGCTCGAAATAGAATTTAAAATAATAAATTTTTGCGAGTCCTCACATGAGTCGAGTTTTAACTCCTCAAATCTCAAATTAACTTTTCTTAATCTACTATTGATCATTATTACTTCTCCAAAATTAATACACTCTCGATTCAAATATAGTCTCGAAAAATGTGTACTCGTTGTTCCGAACTAAACGAGTTTTCGAAAAGTAAATTTTCTAACAAAACGCTTTAAAAACATAAGAGATGCGTTTTTCCATATAAATGGATTTTAGGTAGTCGAATTAAATAATTTGGAGAAAATGAGTGAATAACTATTTAAATAAACTAGTAATATATGACGAAAATAAGAAAATTTTTGGATCCTCACACTATTACTGTTAACTATGCATGACTCTTTTGGGCCCAAACCCCATCGACGGTCGGCCTATTCGAGCCAGTAATGGGCTCGGTCGAGTAGGTCGATAGTCCTTGAGTACCGTTTATTGGTATACTCGAGTATGATCCACTAAGGTGATCACCAAACACTAGAAGAAAGAAGAATGTTGGTTACTATTTAACTGGAGAAATGACACTAAATTACTGAATGGAACTAAGTGCTATGTCTGAAAACAGACAGGAGCCACCTCTAGAGTCCGTATTAGTACCATATCCTTTCATATTAAATGTGTTGCTTGTTTTAGAATATTAATTATTGTAACATGTTTATTGTTGGGTTGTAAACTTTGTGATCCTGTTGGACTACTAGATGTACTTGGAACCTCACTGAACTCTAACTCAACCCCTTAGTTTTGTTTTCCTTACAAGAGTTAAGGTTGGAAGAAATGTCAAGTAGAGATAGATGGTTTTGGGAGGTCCAATGTTGTATCTCGATGTTAAAAACTTGTATTTTGTTTCTTTTAATGGACAAATTTATGTTTCAATCTAGTTGGTGATGTACTTAAGAATGAATATTCAGATGTTTAATGGGAAATGTTATCTCTGAAGTTAATGTGAATGAGTGAGTCCTGATGAGAGTTAGGCAGGCGATCTGCTAAACCCTGGGATCCGCCCTAGGGGGAGGTGGGATCATCACAAAAGTGCTAAATAACATGCTCAAGAAATAAGTTCAAATGACCATAAAAACTTCACTTAATAATCATAGAAGTTCATCCATTTTCTAGGTATAAAAACTAGTAAGACATAAAGAAAATACAAACAAGAACCAAACTTGTATATTCACTAACCATGAGAATCAATAAAAGAAATAAAGTGATAGAAGAGATTTCACCCATGTCACTTGAGCTCCAATTTGTCCATCATTATCTTCAACTTCATCTCTCTCTAGTACATACAAGAATGGGATGAAAACTATACTAATCCTATACTAAATTAATGAACTAAGAAGTTCTAGTGAAATACTACATTTTGTATAATTTCTCTAGACTCCGAAGTTATGCAAATAACCCCTCTAGGACCTCTATTTATAGATAAATTTAAGCTCCAAATAAGTTGTTAAAATTGATACAAGTTGTGTCTTGAAATCACCAAAAGTTGATTCTACAAGTTTTCATGATTTTTTGGACAGTTCCCATTGAAATCCCATTGAAATTTGATAGTGAGATAATTGTGTGTTTTATTCGTTGATGTTTGATCTTGATTTTGGCCACTTATTGTCCAAGAGTAATGGGTTTCTGCTCATAACTGGTATATGCGTCTGTTGCAGGTGATTGGTGTCAAAAGTGGCAAAAAGAGGCAAATTTCCAGAAGACCAGTCATTCCAAAGCATGCCCATGCCAGAAACCGCAGAGTTGCATTAAAAAGACGGACCGCATGATCTATTCCTGGATGCTGCCTCTACTCTTGGGAGATGTATTTTGAAGCTGCGTGGAATTAGGCAATATCTTCAGAGTCCCTTTTGGCAACAACTAAAGAAGAGAAATAAAGAAAGGGAATCCTTATAGGAACAAGCACCTCGATTAGCGAATTTGGCAGCGGCGAAGACACTATAAATAGGACAAGCGATAGATGAGTATCTTATCTAGTAATTGGTGTCTTTATTTGGTTCTTTTCCTCCTTAACGCAAGTTAGGAAACTAGCAGCCGCGTCCTTTTTACTTCTTTGTTTTCAATCAACTAAACTCCATGAAAGCTTTCAATTGCATCATCGTTATAAGGCAAGGCTAGTCGCCTTTATCTAGTTGAGAAATAATCAAGACCCGGTGCACGGACAATTGTGAGATCATTTAATTGTTTTGCTCTATTCGAAATTCCGCGTTCGAGGGTATTTAATTATTCTTTGTTTTAACAGCCTATTATTGTTTGGATTTATTGGATCAATATGGCCAGTTGTTCAATTGTCTGAATAGTATACCGCCAATTTGGACAATGGTGCGTATCACTTGATTGTCTTAAATTAGTGGCAAACAGCACAATTTCATTGCCTCGCAAGCAGTCTAATCTGGGTCATTGGAATAGTTAATTTAGTTTAAATGAACCCGCATGTGTGTTTGTTAACTAGAATTGGGTCTCTCTAATTCCTAAATCTGTGAATAGATTAAATCTTTCAGGCGTATCTAGGGTTATATGTTTTACAAGGGAGTAATTTAAGAGCGTCTCTGGACTACCGTAAAATTAAGGAGAGATTGGTAGTTTGGCGGTTGCTAAATTGCTAGAACCAATTTATTTGCAAGCGTGTGAATTATTCTTGGTATCAATGATCAATTACGTGAACCAGTGCTGAAATTATTTTCTTGACTAGGTTGTGTCAATTAATTGTTTATTATATTCTTTAGTTACTGCATTTTCTAGCGATTGGAAATTCAGTACTCTTACATATTTAATTTGTTCTATTTGTCTTCCTTTCTAAAACCCCTCAAATTCTGTGTGTAATAAATCTACCAGTTTCTTAAGGAAACGACCCTGCTCACCACTATACTAGTTCAATTTCGGGAATAAGTCTTGATATAAATTTTATTTTTGGTAGTTTGACAGCCATCAAATTTTGGCGCCGTTGCCGGGGAGCTGGTGCTTGAAATGATTTATCGCACGGGCTTGTTTAGCCTTTGTTTTATGTCTCGATCTTCCCGCACAAAAAGACTCGAATATGATCGCGAGATCGAGAAAATCGCATGGAGGTTGACGAAGGAGACGAAGTTGCAAAAGCAACAAGCTTCAGCGGCACAACTATCTGGACTTGAACAAAATCCGGACTTAAGTGATTCGTTATTTGACCTGGAAGCAAACTTGCCTAGATCCAACGAGACAATGGCAACCCAAAGGACCTTGAGGGAGCTTGCAACTCCAAATGTTAACCAACAACCTCTGTGCATTACGTATCCTGACACTGAGGAGGCTTTTGAATTAAAATTTGGGCTAATTCACTTATTACCTACTTTTCGTGGGGTTGCAAGTGAGAACCCACACAAGTACTTGAAGGAATTCCATGTAGCGTGTTCAACCATGAGACCTCAGGGAGTTACTGGGGAACAAATCAAGTAGCGTGTGTTTCCGTTTTCCTTAGTAGACAAGGCTAAGGACTGGTTGTTCTACTTGCCATAGGGGTCCATCACCACGTGAGAAGGATTAAAACGACAAATTCCTTGAGAAGTTCTTCCCACTTCTAAGGCCGCCAACATTAGGAAGGAAATATGTGGGGTTAGGCAGGCAAATGGAGAAACTCTCTATGAATACTGGGAGCGGTTCAAACAAATGTGTGCCAGTTGCCCGCACTATCAAATTCCTGATCAACTGTTGATCCAATATTTTTACGAGGGACTACTACCCATGGATAGAAGCATGGTCGATGCAGCTAGTGGCGGAACTTTAGTTAATAAGACAACAGATGAAGGCAAACTACTGATCTCAAACATGACTGAGAATTCTCAACAATTTGGAGTCAGATCTGAGGGTGTGACTAGGAGGGTCAATGAGGTAAATCATTCTGATCTGGCGAATAAATTAACTGAACTAACGGCTCTGGTTCGTCAGATGGCAGTAGGGCAAGTACAGGCAGTTAAAGCCTTTGGGATATGTGCTGCCCCCGAACATGCGACCGACATGTGTCCGACCCTTCAAGAAGACCCTTACAAGCAAGGCAGCGCCATGGAAGGTCTGCCTGGACCACCACAAAGGCGAAATGACCCATATGCACTCACATACAATCCAGGATGGCCGAACCACCCCAATTTTAGCTATACTCAGAAACTTTTGGGTTTCCAACAACCATTCTAGCAAAGACAACCAGTACAGCAACCATCCACGTCTAATTCAGGTATGTCCCTAGAAGACATGGTTAAATCACTAGCTGACAGCACTTGTCAAATGCTGCAGGACCAGCAGAGATTTTAACAAGAGACACGCTCAAGCATTAGGAATTTAGAGGCGCAAATGACACAACTGGCGTCTTCAATGAGCAACTTTGAGAATAGTAAAGGGAAGCTACCATTTCAAGTAATCCCCAATCCAAAGAAGAATACAAGTACAATGCTTCTATGAAATGGAAAGGAGGTGCAGTCCTCAAAATCGGAGGCAACAGGAGTGGAAGATGAACGAATGTGTGGGGAGCTTGAGAAGAAAAAGGTAAGCACCCCGCCAAATATTCCTAAGACCCTTGATATTAACCCACCTTTTCCTAGCAGGTTGACTAAAGCAAAAAAAGAGGAATCAGAGAAGGAGATTTTGGATACCTTTCAGAAAGTGGAAATCAACATTCCTTTACTTGAGGCGATTAGGCAGTTGCCAAAATATGCAAGATTTTTGAAGGGGTTGTGCACTAACCGGAACAAACTTAATCTCCAAGACAAAGTAAGGGTAGGTGAGAATGTGTCAGCAGTCCTTCAAATAAAGTTACCACAGAAATGCAAGGATCCAAGTATGTTTACGATACCATGCATCATAGGCCAGAAAAGGATAAAAAAAGGTATGCTTGATTTAGGAGCATCTATTAACGTTATGCCTCTATCAATATTCAAGGCCTTAAACCTAGGACCTCTAAAAGATACAAATGTAGTAATTCAACTAGCTGATAGGTCAAATGTTTATCCTGAGGGTGTAGTTGAAGATGTTCTAGTGAAAGTTAATGAGTTTATCTTTCCTGCTGATTTTTACATTGTTGACATGAATGACGATAACTCAGTTAACTCAGTTGTACTCCTTCTGGGTAGACCGTTCATGAGTACAGCCAGGACCAAGATAGATGTGCATGAAGGTACCTTGTCTGTAGAGTTTGACGGGGAGACAATTACTTTTAACATTTTTTATGAGATGAAATACCCGAAGGATACTGAGTCTGTTAACTATGTTGCAGTCTCTAATTCCATTGTCCAAGAGCACCTTGAGCAGAATCTTATGGAGGACAAGCTAGAATTTGTGCTACAACAGAGTAAGATGAATGCAGACGTGGAAAGCGAGGACGAAGAGGATACTATAGAAGCAATTATGTCACTACACTCACTTCCTGCACTTTCCGACAGGTCAGTAGACTCATTTTTACCATTGCCTACTTCTAATGAGAGAATTTTATCTTCTGTGGAACAGGCACCCGATTTGGAATTGAAAGAATTGCCAAAGCACTTGAAGTATGTTTACCTTGGAGATCGTAACACTCTGCCGGTCATCATTGCAAATGATTTGACCGTGGTACAAGAAAAAAAAAACTCCTACGAGTTTTGCTGGAGTATAAACCAGCAATTGGATGGATGTTCAAAGGTATAAATCCATCCATTTGCATGCACCATATTCTACTTGAGTCAGAAGTAAACCCGTGAGGAAACGTCAGAGGAAACTCAACTCAGCCATAAAAGAGGTGGTAATGAAGGAGATTCTCAAACTATTGGAGTTAGGAATTATTTTTCCTATCTCCGATAGTGAGTGGGTGAATCCAGTGCATGTCATCCCTAAAAAGACCGGCATTACCCTTGTGTGGAATGAGAAGAATGAGTTGGTGCAATGAGATTCCAAAATGGATGGAAAATGTGTATCGACTTCAGGAAATTGAATGCGACCACAAGGAAAGATCATTTCCCATTACCATTCATCGATGAGATGCTCGAGCAATTAGCAGGTAAGTGTTTCTTTTGCTTTCTTGATAGCTACTCTGGGTATTATCAAATCACTGTTATCCAAGAGGACCAGCACAAAAACCACTTTCACTTGCTCGTTTGGCACTTTTGCTTACCGCTGTATGCCTTTTGGGTTATGTAATGCTCGAGGAACATTTCAAAAAATGCATGATGAGTATTTTTTCTGATATGATTGAAAACTGCATTGAAATATTCATGGATGATTTCACAATTTATGGTGGTTCATTTGATCAATGCCTGCATCACTTAACAAAAGTTATACAACGGTGCATTGAAATAAATTTGATCCTTAACTATGAAAAATGTCATTTTATGGTGAAAGAGGGTATTGTTTTGGGCCATGTTATTTCAACTTGGGGTATCGAAGTCGATAAAGCAAAGGTTGATTTGACTACTAGCTCGCCTTACCCCACTAATGTCAAGGAGATTCATAGTTTTCTTGGTCATGCAAGCTTTTATAGGCGATTCATTAAGGACTTCTCACGAATTGCACAACCATTGTCCCAACTATTTCAAAAGGAAGCAACATTTGATTTTGAGAAGGCGTGTAAAGTGTCCTTCGATACATTGAAGAGCATGTTGACCATAGCACCAATCATTCAACCTCCAGATTGGAGCCTGCCGTTCGAACTTATGTGTGATGCCAGTCAGTATGCAGTGGGGGTTGTACTTGGTCAGAGAAGTGGGAAGTGTAGCCATGTCATTTATTATGCTTCAAAAACGTTGTCACCGGCTCAATATAACTACACCACCACCGATAAGGAGCTTTTAGCGATCATTTTTGCTTTTGAGAAATTTCGATCGTATTTATTAGGATCGAAAGTAATAGTTTTCTCTGATTATGCAACCCTAAAATACCTGTTCGCAAAGAAGGAGTCCAAACCAAGACTCATTCGTTGGATACTCCTGCTGCAAGAATATGACTGGGAGATCAAAGATTGAAAAGGGGGCACAATTCCGTGGTAGACCATCTAAGCCGACTGATTCGAGAGGAAGAGGGAGTGCCTATATCTGAGGTATTTTCAGATGAACACTTGTTCCAGCTTAGAGGTGAGGAACCCTGGTATGCTGATATTATTAACTTTTTGGTTAGTCACGAATTTTCAAGTGGTATGAGTAAGAATAAGAAGCATAAAATAATTCTGGACTCTCGATTTTACATTTGGGATGAGCCCTATTTGTGAAAAATAAGTTCTGACCAGATCATCCGTCGATGTGTTTAAAATGAAGAAAATCCCTTCTATACTTACTCATTATCATAGTTATGCTTGTGGTGGTCACTTTGGTCCTAAAAGAACTGCTCAAAAAATACTTGACTGTGGCTTTTATTGGCAAACTTTGTTTCGTGATGCTTATTTGTTCTGTAAAAGATGTGACAAATGCCAAAACTTTGGGAGTTTATCTCACCGGGATGAAATGCCCCAGGTTCCTATGCTATTTTGTGAAATCTTTAATGTCTAGGGTATGGATTTCATGGGACCGTTTTCTAGTTCTTTTTGCTGTCTTTATATTCTTTTAGCTGTAGATTATGTGTCGAAATAGATAGAAGCCAAGGCTACCCGGACTAACGATTCACGAGTTGTTGCAGGATTTCTTAAGTCCCACATTTTTAGTAGGTTTGGTGTGCCAAGAGCAATCATCAGTGACCAAGGTACTCATTTCTGTAATCACACCATTGAAGCACTGATGCATAAGTATGGAGTTCACCATAGAGTGGGTATTACCTACCACCCGCAGACTAACAAGCAAGCTGAGGTCTCTAATCACGAGATCAAGAGTATTGTGGAGAAAACGGTCAACCCAAATCACAAGAATTGGAGCACTTGATTGGATGATGCACTATGGGCATATCGCACGGCGTACAAAACACCAATCGGAATGTCTCCATACAGGTTGGTTTATGGTAAGATGTGTAATTTACCTGTAGTGATTGAGTATCGTGCGTTTTGGGCAGTTAAGCAGTGCAATTTGAACGCGGATAGAGATGGCAAGAAAAGGAAGATCCAACTTCAAAAATTGGAAGAAATTCGCTTGGAGGCTTACGACAATGCCCAACTTTACAAATAATGCACAAAGTCCATCCATGATAGACTATTGCGTAATAAGCAATTTTCTAAAGGGTAAAAGGTATTTCTGTTCAACTCACGGTTCAAATTCATGCCAGGTAAGTTGCGATCCCGATAGATTGGACCATATATTGTTATCAACATTTTTTCCAATGGTGCGATTGAAATTAGAAGTTTAGAGACTGACAAAAGTTTTAAGCTCAATGGTCATCGTCTCAAGCCGTTTATAGATGTTTCAAAAATTGGCACAGTGGAGGAGGTCCATTTGCTCGACCCCATTTCCAATTAACTTATTAAACTACTTATGGTCTGGCCACAGACGTTAAATAGAGGCGCTTCTTAGAAGGCAATTCAAGAATTTTAATTTTTTGTTATTTTTGTGTTTTATTTCATAATTGTGCGTTCTAAATCAGGTTGTTTGGGTTTCTATTGACAGACAATCTTTATTGTAGGTCATGGGTGTGTTCGGTGCAGTTTTATTTTGGGTTGGGAGCACAAATTCGTGGGCAGGAGACTTTACGTTACAAGGCATGCCCATACCTTGTATTACCCGCCAATGGACGCTTTTAAAAATTATTGGACAGAGAACTTACGCTTCCAAGGCGTACCCACACTCTACAGGGATGCGTCAGATGACCATGTCCAAGAAATTGGCGACCGCATGACTTTCGGCTCCAAGGCGTGCCCACGCTGCACAACAAATCAAGGTGGTCCTGGTACAAGGTGTTGGACAGACGACTCTTGCTTACAGGGCGTGCCCACGCCGTCCTATGCATACCAAACAAATACTAACTCTGGTCCCAACTTCTTTTTACTTTTTTCCTTTTTCACTTTTTATATTATTTTCTTTCCTTTTCCTTTTCCCATGTCGTCTTTCCTGGTCTTCGCCCCTTTGTCACTATTATCGTAGACAGACACGGCGCCGCCCCTGGACTTCGCCCCCTTGCATCCCTCTCCCCCCCGCGACCTGTGGCTGTTCGCCGTTCCCCACCATCGCGGCTACTGCTCCGCTTCTTCCTCGACGAGCGCCGCCACCCAAGGCGCCATCGACGCAACCCATACCCAGATCGTCAACGCCCGCACGCCAGCTGCCACACACAGTCGACAGTCCACCGCGACCTTCGACAGCTCGCCACGAGTCACCACTGCCTCCGCCCGCACGGCCTCCGCTCGCCGCGGCCGTCCACCACGACATTGCACTATGATACCCCTAATTCCCTTCTTTCTGCCACCTAGTGCTTCGAATTTGGAATTTTGTTGACGCTTGTAATTCTAAGTGGGCTCGAAATATTGTGGGTACCTTGGTTGTAGTGGATCTGAAATTTGACACCTGTGGCTGGGTGACTCATTCGTTGGTTGGGTATAGTTGACTGTTGATTCCATTTTGGGGTATCTTATTTGCCTTTCTTCACTTTTATTTGCTAAAGTTACGCCAGTGGGCATCCTTGTGTCTGCCCTGTACATTGTTGTTGACTGTTGACTATGGGTAGTGTATTTGTGGTCCCTTGTCTCCAATTGGTGTTTTCTTGTCAACTCTGTGCTTTTGTAATTGACATTTTTGCCCCTATATTGCTCCAAAAAAGGCCACTACGTCTGAGGCATCGGATTTCAACTCTCGCAAGAGGCGGGCCCCAATCCAACCCCCTACTAGGTCCCGGTTGAATTTGTCTAGGAGTACTTTGTCTCATGGGGTGTGGGGGGAATCTCTTAAGGACCTCACACCTGAGCAGAAGGAGCGGTTGAGCTCCTTGGTGGTGCGGCCGTTCGCTCCATGCAAATGCTTCCATCCCCCAACTCTCGATCAGTTAAACATTGTTAGGGAGGTCGAGCAATTGTTGTCTGACATTGGGTGAGGCCGGTTTCTGGTTATTGACTACCCTGCATATGAGGAGCTCTGTTATGAATTCTACGCCACCTTCTAGTTTGACAAATCTGACACCATGGCTTTAGACATACTGGGGGTGATCAAGTATAGGTTGCGGGGTACCCCACAAAAGCACTCCATTAATAAGTTTAATGTGATCTTGGGGTTTGTGAGCGAGAACACTCTCTCCTCCGGCACGCATATCAATAGTGCTTGCGACTACACCCAACCCTTCGGAAGCAACTATATCGAGATATGGAGGGAGGTGTCCACGGATACTTAACTCTACGACCCGAGTCAGTCTAAGGTCTCATTTATTAAGGATCCAGTGTTGAAGGTCATTCATCGGTTTCTGGCCTATAACTTCTCGGGCCAGAAGGATTCCTCCAACACTCTTGCCAAGGCTGAATTCTATTTCCTCTGGTGTATGCGTAATAAGGTTCCGGTCAACTTTGGCTGTTGGGTAGCCTCTCAGTTGTAGTCCGTCCTCACCAAGCGCCACAAACCCTTGATTATGGGGTCCCTCATCACTCATTTGGCCGTCGGCCTGGAGGTTCTTGACCTTCATAAGAAGCATAAGCTGACCCTGGCTCGCGAGCTTGAGCTTTTGGACTTGCGCAGTTTAGAGCGGATAGGCGTCATTCGCAAGGTGGGGGAGGCCTATCAGTTCACCCCTCCTGGAGAGAGTGTGCCCCAGCCTCGGGTTCCTCCCACGGTGCCCATCTCGGAGGCTGGTCAGGCGGGCCCTTCCTCTTACACTGCTCCATCTTCTTGGGACACCCAGTTCCGTACTCTGCAAGACTCAATTCAGGAGTTGGCGCGGCCGGGTTGAGCGTCTGGATGATCGCCTCGCAGCTTTGCAAGTCCATGCTACTATTCAGACTGAGAATCTGGCGGCCTTCTTTGCCTACATCGACTTTCAGCTACCTCATCCTCCTTCATAATAATGCTATCGTGCCCTTGTCGGTCCTCAGGGAAACTCCTGCTCCTTTCTTTTTACCTTTTATTTTTCTTTGCTCCATTGATGACAATATAGATTTCTGGTGTGGGGGGGCAGTAGTTCTAGCTCTTTAGGTTTGATAGGTTTGATAGATAGTTTTAGCTCTTTCGGTCTGTTAATAAAAAAAACAAAAAAATAAAAAAAATTGAAAAACTAGGAAAAGGGAATCTATATATATAGGTGATGAGATTGGTTGGGTTCAATTGAAAATATCTGGAACTTGATGCTATGATGATGATTGCAATTACTTTACAAGCATGAGCAGTGTTATTATGTGGTTAAATGTCTTGTCTTCTTGATAATGGAATTGAATGATGAATTTTGCAAGACTTGGCAATTAATATCCATTTTGTGAGCTATCGAGCCAATGAGCGTTGCATTGATAACTGCTCCATTTTCCTTCATTGAGTGATATCACACACGACTTGATTGTTCTAGAACTTGATTTGTTATGCATGTCAAGATCACATTCCTGAGTTTGATGCATTAAAATGACAAGGGCACTTAGGTTAACCTTTTTTGGCTTGCTAAAGACCAACCCTAATCAGAGCTCCCCTAGTTAACCATGGTTGAGCCTAGACCTTTTCTTTGTTTAATAACTTATTTTGTCACCCCCCAAACCTCTTGTGTTCGACCCTCTTTGTTTCTACCCCGTGTCAAAGGAATGCCTTGATTTCAGTGCATAATGACTTCAAATTGAGTTAAAAGGGGATAAGTGAAGTTAGCAAGTGTGTCTATATCCCCTGGTAGTTGGGCGTATTTGAAACAAAACAAAAGGAGAGAAAAAGAAAACAAAAAGACCAAAAAGAAAGAAAGGGGAGAAAGAGAAAAAGGAGCACACCAAGAAAAAAAGAAACACAGCAAAAAAAAAAGAAAGAAGAAAAGAAAGAGCTCTGAAGTACTGATGTCAATATGTGTTCTTTTGAGATAGTTGGGTGAAATCGTTGGTTGTGCTGGCACTTGCTAAATCTTTTTGGGGAATTTATGGGTATGTTTGAAAAGATCATTGGAATGAAAAAGAAAATTGGAAATCATGCAGAGGGTCAACAGTATTTTCTTTGACATAATGAGCCTAAATTATTTATTTGATCCTACCCGTGCCTAAACCCCATTACAACCCGCATCAAGACCCTTTGATTTTTACATTAAATTTGATTTCAATGATGACAATGTGAAATATTAGCAAGCATATGGTAATATTATTTTATTGTGTGGTGAGAGGGACCTCTTGTGTTTCATATCAGTATGGTGAGTAGTCATATACCATCCTATAAGAGAGTGTTAAGTTTTGTAATTTCTGAATTTAATGACTTTGTTAGGAGGATAGGGCACTTGCGCTTGCATGTTGGACTGCTACATGTGTGTAGCTGTAATTCTATCGCTGAGCTTTGAGATGTTTGAGGACAAGCATTGTCTTGGTGTGGGGGGATTTGATGGTGAGATAATTGTGCGTTTTATTCGTTGATGTTTGATTTTGATTTTGGCCATTTATTGTCCAAGAGTAATGGGTTTCTGTTCATAATTGGTATATGCGTCTGTTGCAGGCAATTGGTGTCAAAAGTGGCAAAAAGAGGGAAATTTCCAGAAGACTAGTCATTCCAGAGCGTGCCTACGACAAAGACCGCAGAATTGTGTAAAAAAGACGGACCGCGTGACCTATTCCTGGATGCTGCCGCTACTCTTGGGAGATGTATTTTGAAGCTGCGTGGAATTAGGAAATATCTTCAGAGTCCCTTTCGGCAACAACTAAAGAAGAGAAATAAAGAAAGGGAATCCTTATAGGAACAAGCACCTCGATTAGCGAATTTGGCAACGGCGAAGACATTATAAATAGGACAAGCGATAGATTAGTATCTTATATGGTAACTGGTGTCTTTATTTGGTTCTTTTCCTCCTTAACGCAAGTTAGAAAACTAGTGGCCGCGTCCTTTTTACTTCTTTGTTTTCAATCAACTAAACTCCATGAAAGCTTTCAATTACATCATCGTTATAAGGCAAGGCTAGCTGCCTTTATCTAGTTGAGGAATAATCAAGACCCGGTGCAGGGACAATTGGAAGGTCGTTTAATTGTTTTGCTCTATTCTAAATTCCGCGTTCAAGGGTATTTAATTATTCTTTGTTTTAACAGCCTATTATT